ACTTTTAATAAATATAAAAGTACAATCATTGGTATAAATGTGCAACTTGCAAACAGAATTCATTTGCATACATTAACTTGATGTTACACTACATCGCAAGCAACATGAGACACAGCAAGGTGCAGCGTCGTGTTCACATGAGTCGAGTTAAGGATCAACATAAATAACAGACAGATAAAGCAGCTTCTAAAGTGAGAGCTGAATGTCATTTGTTGCTCCATATTATCAGCTCCCCTCCTAAAAAAAACACACAAAAACAAACTAACAGGGACATGTGTCTTGTAAATCTGGAAATTATGCTCCGGATCAAAGCCAACAATTGGACTCTTGTTAAAGATCAGAAGCAGCCAAGCTGAGCAAATAATACATCATTCTGTTACTGAGCTGCTCGGCTGTTTACCTGCCCGCTGGTAATAGCCATTTCCAGCGTGTTCCAGCCAAATTGATGATAATACAGTTTTTCCCCCTGAAACGAGCATCTTTAACAGTCTTGAAATACAAAAGAGGTCGTGCACTCTTCCGTAGCAGAAACTGGAGAGAGCAAAGTGTTATGCATCATACTGTGATTACAGAGAAATTTGCTTGAATAAATGATAATGCCATTAGCACCATCGACGGCTTTAAAGGTCAACGCTAACAACATTTCCAGTTTCTTCTAATGTCAAACTAACTGTTTTTCATTATTGGACTGGTAAAGACCACTGAAGCGTTGCTTTCTACTTAAGCTATTTCACACTCAAATAGCCGCTGATTAGCAAATATTTGAATGTGAATACAGTACAGTATGTGTTGACAGAAAATAAATGATCTCAGTGGTGATTTTAACTGCTGATAAGCTGATGGAGAGTCACCGCTGTGTAATCCAGATCTGCTTGGATTGGAAATTAGGTGGAGCGATTAACCTGACTGTTTCTGAAGTGAATAAAATCTGGCTGTAAAACAGAAGGCAGCTGGACTTCTTTAAGTTTTGTCAGAATGTATCACGTCTCATCCAAGAGGCTTCTTTGGATCTACAACCAAAGGGTGGAGAGTCCACCCCTAGTGGGTGGTGTCCCTTAGGAGGGTCATTGACCACTATTAAGTCTGGAGTAAAAAGAGGAGTAACACAGTGTTGCCTGTGTTGTGGGTATCTCACGCCAATTTTGACGTCACATCACGTGTCGCATGATATAATCTTGGATGGTCCTGCACCTCGTGATTTTTGTAACCTGGCACGTTCCACTGCAGCCGCTGCAGCTGGATTGATCATGCAGGTTTTTACTGCCATGTTATTAATATTCTAGCACAGAAGCACAGAGACATACAGATATACAGAGGGAGATTTTGCAGCTGTTTGGAAACTTGAGAGTTTCTGGAAAAAACACACAAAGTCTTGGCTTCTGGTTTTGATGAGGCTGTGGTGGGGAGCAAATCAACTATTCCAGCGGGTATACTGATGCCTTAAAAGGGCTATCTTTGTCCACGGTGAATGCCCATCGTTAAACAGAGGTACAATGCAGTCTTGAGGTCTCTACCCAGGCTCCTCAACCCTCACTCACATCTTGTGTCAGCTGACTTCAATAGGTCACATGATGGGGTGTAGCAAGTTCTCACGATGGTCTCACCCAAAACCTGTGGTACCTGTGGTAATGACCCACATCTTTTTCACTCCTTGGCTCATGTGATGATGCACATAATCAACAGTGCGTCAGAAACTCTCTTAGTGTAAAACCTCAACTAGGGTTTAAATCCTTTTAACTCTCTACCTTCAGTTCTAAAACCTTTTGGTGTTAGAACTGAAGAAGCCACTTGGATGACAGACGAAACATCTTCAGAAACCTTAAAGGAGTCCAGTTTTTTTCATGCTCCTTAGACTACCATGACCTGGATGACTGAGAACCTACAAAGTCAATATTATGTACAAATAGTGCTTACATCATTTTAGTCCGAGCCCGTGTTTCATGTGAACATGAACGACTATATTACAATACAAAGAAAAGTAACTGACACATTTAGGACTCTTTTATGCTGTTCACAAATACAAACATACAGTAGATCTTAGGACCACCTGTCTCCTCTTACAGAAGATACAGAGGACAACGGGGCAGTTAAAACCATTGCAATCAATGGAGATCAATTTTGCAAAATGCAAAAGGATAGTATAGTACAACACACAAGGTCTACACACTATAATTGTTTCAATAAGGAACCTCTTTGTCATATGCAAGGACTAAAGTAAGGCAATTGATTTCAAGCCATGCATGCATTTTTAGATGAGCAAACATTACTCTAAGTAATATATTCAGTGTTATAACAGCCTGATGTGTCACGCCTAAGGAAATTACATTTTAATTGATATTATATTGAGTCACGTAACTTTTCGGGGGATTATGCTTAACATATGATAGTCCTTGGATTCCTGTTCTCAGTTCTTTACACTCTTCTTTGGATACACAAATGCATACAAACACGTATGATCCTTGTTGAAAGTAAGGTTAAAGATACAGCGCAGCTGACAGCTATAGAAGCATTCCTGAAACCTCTACCACTGTAGCCTTAAGCCTCAGGGGGGAGATGAAGGTTAACACATCATTTAGGAAACATTAGTCTAGAGAAGTGGCAGCAGTGCTTCTCCCCTTGGACATACTGTAAAACAGGGTAACACCACTGAATTCAAACTACAGTATATCATTTGTTACAACATGCCCATGCTCCTGCTCAAATGTCCCAGGGTTTAATACTTACTTTTCTATTACTATCAGAAATATGTGCACAAATCATGAGGATTCTGCTGCTGCATGTGCCGCATCACCTACACACTGCTCGCTTCCTTGTTCATGAGCTGCCTTGTTGGGAACTGTTAAAATAATAAACTGACATTTTGGGAATTACATGCAATTGCTGTCTTGCAGAGAGGTAAATGAGCACACTGGTAACACTCGGTGTGAGCTTGGCATCAATCATCTCATCTAAAACTCTGTCAAAACGCAAAAGTAAATATGTGCATTTCACAAAATGCCAAACATCTGGAAAAGCATCTGTGTTTTGTTTGTTTTTCTAACATGCTCATTTTCCATAGGGGTAGTTAAACTCTGGATGCTGTACCTGTCAATCTGCTGACCGACTGTGTGAGAGACATGTGACAGTGAGACTTTTTCAATCATCCACAAGTAGACATTTCGAAAGCTATATGTAGAAAAATAGACTTTAAAGAGTACTCTAGTTTTATATACAGCTATCTTGTATGGCTTCACCATAATGGCATGCGGGAGAAACTAAGACGAGCCTGAAGATTTAACTACCTGAGTCATTTTCTATTTCTCTTGGTGACACTGGGGAGTAAAACCAAATTATTCAGATCTATGCACAGGAATGATAAAAATCAATGGAAGGAAAGATCCAGATCTAAATCACGCCTTACTGTAAAAGCGCTTCATAATGATATACATATATATGTCCCATATTCACAGTGTAAAAGTGATGGGCGTGAGGAGAGAGAGCTGCAAGTAAAAAGGAAGCGGGAGAGTTCTGGTGCAGTGTGCGTTAAGTGAATGCAGAGATGACAAGGGTGGGGGTGTGTGTGTGTGGGGGGGGGACAATCAGATGCTGAAGATGGGAGAGTTGAACCATTGGTTGAGAGAGACCATCGATTTGCATTGGCCACCTCTTTTCTCTCTGCTTCCCTCCTCTTCATCAACGTGTCCCGGACAGTTTAACTATCAATGTCTCCTCCTCTGTTACGCTGTTTACAAACATCAAACGCCATCATGTGGCTTTAAATCACACACACACCGCCGCTTCGGAATAGATAGTTGCCGGCAACTGGGACATTGATCGTGAGCCTGACAGGGCAACCATATCCTCCGCAAACACCCTCCATCCATAAAACCTTGGCTGCACATTTATGCTGAACTCAAGACAAAAAAATCAATCTTTGCAGGACTTTAGGCCTTCTTCTTCTTCTTCCTTTTTTTTTTCACTCAAAATGCACAAAAAAGAAAAAAAAAAGCATCCATCAGTGAAAACAAATCCTTACAATGATGAATCAGTTTTCAGTCTAGCGACTACGACTGACCCGGCCGTGCTCAGTCAGCATCATTTAACATAATGTGCCCATGGAATAAAGCCACATGCAATTTATTTGCTTGCCAAACTCCTTCCACTTTCTTATACATACATACCTTATAAATCCTTAAAGCTGTTTCTTATTTATTCAGCTCTCCAAATACATGTCTGCATGCTGCAGTGGACGAACAATTAGAAAAGCTTTATCGTTTACTTCCCTTCGCAGACAGCTGTAAGCTTTAAAAAAAAAAAGAGGAGAGAGAAGAAGTTGGGAAGGTGCCCTCTTTTACCCTTTGAGTGAAAGTCTTTGGCCGCTGAAGCATGTTCTTAGCTGATAAGAGGACCAGTTCCTCTTTTTTTTTTTCCAGAAATGAATTTTTATTCTTCAACTCTGTTCTTTTTCACCATGTTGAGCAATGCAAGAGGAACAAAAATGAAATCAATCACCTGAGGATAGATGAGAAAAACAAGTTGGGGGGTGGGGGGGGGGCTCTGCGCAATCGAAGGAATGGTGCAAAAAAATGCATGAGAAACATATAATGCATAGATCAGTATGTGCTATATCATTCGGCGATTACGCTCCTTTTACATCAACATTCAGTACGCACATTTAAATAAACTGGCAAAACCTCAAACAGTAAATACTGTGCTGAACGTTTCCCTTGACTGCTTTACAGCACGTCATTAAAGTTGTATAAGTCTGATAGGATAGAGCGAGTGTAGCAGACTGTGTCCTCTGCAGAATAACACTGATGTATGAGAGACTTTGTCTGAGACTCAGTTTGTTCTGGGTTGGGACTGAGGTCAATGGGCGATTGTTGGTTCCCACGCTTCCAGGTCAGTTTATGTTTTCTATTGATGACTCTGTGCTTCTCTCTTCATACCATCACCACCACCATCATCACCAAATCATCATTAAAATCATCACCATTATTATCATACCTGTATTATCACAGGCCAAACAAAAGTATTTTTAAAAAAATCATATGTATCATGCATGTCGATATTACACTGGCAATCCCTTTCGAGAAAAAAAAAACCTCAGACAAAACTTTTTGTGTTTTTATATGGCGATCAACCTCTGGGTTCTTATTACAGTACGAGTGTAAAGTGCCCCCCACACCCTCTACCTGGAGTTACTTGTCTCTGCCAGTCTGTTGTTCATGATACCCAGAGCACCAACCCCCCCAGAGAAACCATTATGGCGTGAGCTGCCGCATACTGTCCTGGGATATCCGTTGGCAGACTCAGACAGCTGCTTCTGCATGATGGCCAGCGACACTTTGCTAGAGGCTGCCAGGTCTTTCATGGAGATCATCTCCCCCGATAATCTGCGGCCCTCTGCGTCACTGTCACAAGGTCCGTCTGAGTCGGGCGGCTGACCAAACCGACGCTGGCGACCTTTGGAACCCGGGCGGATGGCATTGCGTCTGCCCAGGAAAGCATTAGCGTTATTGCAGCGCTGGCAAAACAGGCAGCTCATTTTCTCCAACATCCAATTGAGCACCTGCTTGATGACAATAGAAATAACATTGAATAGCGAGTAGATGCAGCACACACCCATTAGCATGAAAAAGAAGTTGGCCACCCTGTAAAGGCTTTGGTATTCGTAAGCCGCGCTCTGGCTGCTGACAAAGTCTCCAAAGCCAATGGTGCTGAAGGTGACAAAGCAGAAGTAGAGAGAGTCTAAGTAAGCCCAGCCCTCAACGGGCGTGTACATGGCTGATGCACAGCAGGAGATGGTGATGGCTGACAGGCCAAGTATCAGCATCACGTGATACACCGAGGGCTTCCATCCTGGCAGGGAGTAGGCTGAGAAGTCATGGCGGATGCCTGGTGGGAGTAGGCCGCTGTTCCTGATTCGTCTCTCCCTCACAGCCTTCATCACCACAGCCAGCAGTGTGATGATGCGCTCCAGGAAGAGGTTAAAGAAAAGGATGGTTCCGGCACAGCCCAGAAGCCCGTAAAAGATCAGGAAAACTTTGCCTGCAATTGTCACAGGTGTCGTCATCCCAAAACCTGCAGAAACAGAAAAGATATCACGCGTTCAGCCATGCGGCAGAGGCCACGACCGGATTTTCACCTACGAGATGTTTGCAGTTTCCTCACAGGAAGTGAGTTTCAGGCCAGGGAAGTGATCCGTGAAAGAAAAATAACCTCAAAATCTAAAAGAGGATTAAATGAGGCTTGAATCATTCTTCTAAAACATTTTGCCTAATAATTAAAATGACGTAAAGCCGAGGATTAGCTGTGCAAATACAAATTATGTACAGAAAGTACTGCATGATAATTTGACTCGATGCTGATATGAGAATGCAAGCTTTTACTGGAAGATTAGTGTCTGAAAAGTCATATACAGAGACAAAGGAACTGTGTGATAATTATGTTTTGCACTGTGAGAGAGAATAAGGGGAAAGCGATAAAATCCAAAATATATAAATATTTGCCAACAAGAAAAAAATTGATCATAATTTAAAAAATGAAGAATTATGTCCAATAATGGTGTAGCAGCTTATTCAATATTAAATCCTTGCAGATATTTAAGGCATTACTTGTATTATTAGTTATTAATAGTTAAATCTTTTAAAAGGAACCATTTTTATAGTGAAAATTCATTGTGAAAAACCTTGATTCTGTATATTCAGCATATTTTTATTGCTGTGAGTAAGAAAAATCAAATAACTTAGAAGGATATCGAGAAGAGGATGCCAAAAATAAGCTGGGTTAAGCCTTCTGAATATGCCCCCTCCTCTTCAGCTGTGTCTGGCTTCCTGCTATCGCCTGATTTCTTAGTCACTTTGAGCGAGTGTTCAAGCTGAGGAAGTGGTTATTAGAGCAGAGGAGGGAGGATGTTTATGGATTCTGCTGCGTGTTGAAGGAGCACACCTCAAACTCGAGTGCCACAGGTTTGGCTCTGATGTAAACATGTGTCTGGTATCTGGGCATGGCATTGTTTCGCATCAGGTCAAATACTTGGAAGAGAAAAGGGTGGAACCAATTAAGGCAAAACAATAATTTAAGTCGTTATCTTCAATTAAAATGAGAGGTAAAAAAATAGCAGAGGTTGGCGCCCATACGAAATGTGCTTATTATCCATCCAGTATCCTATTTTACAAAACAAAAGCATCTGACCAACGTGTCTATTACTGGAGCCACAATGGAAACCCCACATCGCAGAGAAGTCGTGAAATCTGCAGTGCATCATATATTTTCCTTCTTGATTAATTTACAAAACCCGGTATAAATAAAAATTGTGTAAAAAAATTATATGAATTAATATGTGCAAAGCATACTCTAAAAAACAGCCAGTACAGAAATACTATGCAGCTTCTGCAGGAGACCTGCTACATGCATATTCTCCCACTGACTGATTTTTCATGTGCAAATTTTCTGCACATATATCCATACGTATGTATATACACACACACACACACACACACACATATGTATATATTTTTTTTTAAGTGGTTATTTGTATGCATGCTTGGGACGCTCTGTCCAAGGCCAAATTGAACACACACACCTAAGCGCACACAGAGTGTCGAGCCCCTTATCTACAGAACAGCAGATGGTATATTTGTCAACAAATAAAATCGTGCTGAAAGATCAAGCAGTTCACTTTCAGGCCAAGGTTAATTGATTTTTCCATCATGGCTATCCTCGTTCTCAATCTTCTCAGTGCATTAGGGCTGTGCTTTACCCCTTTTTCCCACCAGTCACCCTTGTCAAGTAATAAATGACATCAATATCCAGACAATACTTCCTTTATGATAGACAAAATGGCTTTTTTGCCCTTATCTCTAGCACTGAAAACCACTCTCACGCAGGTTTGCTGTTGACACGATGGGTCATTTAGATCAACACTGATTGATACAAATTGCTTTATGGACAACGGGGAATATAAGCCCCACGCGTCCACACATGCACACCTTATGGCTTCCTACACACACGCGTACGTACGATGGTTTTCATTCCAGACATGACATAATCTGCTTTTGTGACCCTTACAAAGTTCAAGTAACATACACCAAAGCAACTGAAAGGTGAGGGGCAGCGATTACCCAAATTAAGCCCTTCAGTGAAATCCTATTTCAGTGTTTCATAGTTAATTAATTAGCAGTCCAAGTCTCTCTAACTGAGCTGAATCATAGGGAAAACAGATTACATCTTCTCAGGGCACACAGAGACAGTCTTCCGCACCGTCTCTCATTACCAAGTAAATTACCTAAGAGAGGAAAAGGCACCAGGCATCGATTCAGTGTAGCATTTCAGAGCCATTACTCCAGACTACTGTGTCAGGACACATTAGGGAAAACAGGACAATATTAGAAACCAAAGTGCAGGAGAGCCAAAACCAAAAGATGCTAAACTCTGTGTTACTTTTATTCTCAAAGACTTCTTCATTTATTCTTTAAAAACGCTTAAAAATACTGCTGACTTTTGTGAAAACATCAATTTTACCCACCCGGTCTCAGCCAAGATGACTCATTTAATTCGGCCGAACTTGATAAGGCAGAAAATCATACGTGTGCAAATCCAATTCAGACAGAGCCCTCTGAGAACATTTATTCATTAACATTAAATAAAGTATGCTCAACTCAACACAGAAGATGATGTTATGCTCTAATGACTAATGATGCTTACCCACATAATTAGACACCAGAGATTCAACCAGGAAGAAAATGATGGAAACGGCGCCATTAGTATCCATTACTTACCAATGTGACAGTTTTAAGAGGAGAAGAAGAAAAAAAGATGATCTAATGATTATCTGACGGTGGGCGAAATGAAATAGAGGGAATACAGAAATAAATTGCTACTACACGGTAGTGAATCCAACCTTTTATCACCGAGAGTCGAGTGTAAATCATATTCACTTTGCTGCTGATACAGTTTAAACTGAGCAGCTTTTATTACAGTCCAGCGACAAAGGGTTCATTAAGTCCCACAGTAAAGTTAGGACCTAAACAAACAGCTCTCATTACTGTGTTTTTTTTTTTTTTACAGATATATCAATGGAGATTACGAATGCTCTGCACTTAACTTGATTCGCTTAGTAGTGTGCTCGCCTCTAAGCAGAAATCAATCATCAGCTTTTGCACTAAAGAGCCACTCTAAAATCTAAAACACTTAACAGACGTTTCATTATCTGCAGAGATCGCTGCACAAAAGAGTTAATAGCAGCTATTGCAGTAAATAACACTGCACCGTTCAATCACTCTTCATGTCAGTCGAGTGACGTTTCCTCTGGCAAATTGAGATGAAATGTGCTATTCAATAGCAGTTTGTGTAAAGAAACAATGAGGCAGCAGAAATAATTTCCTCATAAGCATACAGATGTATTCACTGAAGTGTTATAGTGAGGGATTAGGGGCAATTTTACAGGTGGAGATGAGGCTGCAAATATTGGTTTTGGTTATTGCCAATATACCAGTCAGTCAGTCAGTTTGCCTCACAATACTTTTCAACTTTCAGATCCAATCCAATCCAGATCTGTGGCACTCAAACCAAAGTTTCAAGCTGCAGTAATCTTTTTCTTTTTTACGACAATGGCTTTGATGATTATAATTTCAAAGGCTCTGTTTATCTGGGGAAACCTACAGATAATTATGTTCAAACTCTGCAGTTCCTCTCAGCTATATGAAGTGTTTCAGCACCATTCTGTGCACTATTACGAAAGTTTTGATTTTATATAACTGCTCTCTTTAGACTAATTTTGCATCTGCAGCAAAAGCAGGTGCCTGTGGCTCCTGGAGGTGGAGGGTGGCACGTTATTTTTTTTATCCTTGGCTCCTCTGATTTGAAAGTCACGAATGTCCTTGGACTATATACTGAACCATTCAGTGATGTATGAGTGTGTCGATGACAGGTCAAATGTTTAGTGGCAGAAAAGTATGCTTTTAGAATGCGTGAATCTGGTTTGCAGTGTAAAAGTGCTTTAAGTGCGCAGTAAGAGCAGAAAGGTTCAGGAAAAAAGTACCAGTCCATTTGTTCAACAGTTACTGAAGACCAAAACCAGAGTGAAAAGAAGAGTGCAATGCTGTCAAGTGTCTTTAAAAATCCCCTAGGCGGGTTACGTTGCCACAACTATAAAGGCAACAGAATAAAATTCACGAGACAAGCTCATGAAACCTCTGAGTGAGCACTCGTGCCCTGCAAGTGGAGGCATTCAGGAGCTCCGTGTTCCTCAATGTTTTCCACGTCTGTTTGATTTATTGGTTTCCCCGTCTGTGGCTGCAGCATCTTTCACTTTACTTCCTGTTTATCTTTCAAGCCAGGTTCCACATGTTGCCCCCTTCCTTTTCCCACCCCTCGTTAGCACCTTGATTGAGTTCACCTGTACTTCATTATCCCTCTTCCCTCCCTCATGTTTCCTAGGAGCCTATATGACAATGCAGCAGAGAAGGAGGCTATGAGTGGCCTGTATGACTGGAAACTGTTTCAGTTAATTATAAAACCCATCATTAAGATTACAACTGGGTATTCTGATCTGACTTAGACACTAAACTACAAATGAATATGTTCCTGCGATGAAAACATTCATGTGGTGTGTGAGACATTTTCAACTCGCTTCTTTCAGCGGCAGCCCAGGTGGTGTTGGATAGTCTGAGCACAACTAAGGAATAAATATTAGAGCAAAATTCCAACTAGGAGGCTGACATACAGATTTTTGCAAGATCGACAACTAGCAAAGGTCAGATTTGCCTTGTTTTGGGTTATATTGCTATTTCAAGGCTTCTACGCCAATTAAAGTTTTTTAAACTTGGTTGCAGCTATTGGAGGGGAATATTTCTTGTTGGTTCTCATCACATAAAGACAAATACTTTAGATTGTTTCTATAACTTTAGACTCTAATGCTAGCTCACAGAGGTTCAGGAAATCTTTTGGGAATGATGAAACAAGTGAACTGATTGGTCAGCAGGAGGTGAGTTTGTGAGTGCTGATCTCCTATCTCCAACATAATCTGCTCTGGAGCACATGACCATGGCAATATGCTCAGATTAGAGTTAACTCTCTTG